ACTCGCGGGCAAGTAAGAGCGTAATGGTTGTTGTTGTTGTTGAACATTATTAATTCTAAAGAATAATTATTGTTGGGGCCCCCGGTGCACGGCCCCCCTGCGCCGCCTAGGCCGCAGCTACATTTTCATCATTTTCGTGAGGAAGCCTCAGGTAATTCGATGTGATCAAGATCCGGTTGTTTTGTTTCCCCCCGCTTTCCCTTGCAAAAAACACTATAAAATGACATTTCTTGTTCTAATATAATCAAATTTCAAGAATCCTTTGCAAAAAATAAGGTAAAGTGGACATTCGCGCGCGCAAGACGAAATCCTTCCAAAAGCTTAGTGTTCGGAACGATTTCAACATAAAAACATCAAAAAACCAATGGTTTATCAACAAAAAAAATGTCAAAATCTCATCCCGCGCGCTCTTGCGGATTCGTAGGAAACCCGACACTTTTTAAACATTTCTGTCAAACGGGCTTTTGCGAGCAACTTTTTCGAACTTCTGCGACAACGGTTGCGCACCTGCCAGGGCCATCATCCCTGTCAAATAATACCAAGCGGGACACATTCGTTTATTCTTCGCGCGCGCACGCCGAAATCTCCAAAAACCATTGGGCTTCTTAAGAATTTTAGCACCGCGCATCATATGCAACAGATGTTCTGTGGAAGGCTTAACAACTTCTGTGGGTTAACAAGGCTTAACAACTTCTGTGGGTGTACGAACGTAGGCTTAACAACTTCTGTGGGTGTGTACTCCACGCCAGTGTAGTAGCCACGGTCGTCCGCAGGCCACGAAGTGAAGTGTCCGAACGTCATAGGGCGGGAAGCTGGGTGTGGGTGGTGGCGAAGAGTCGTGTGGATATTTGGTAGAGCTTGCACGGCCCCCCCACAAAGTGGGGGTATTGGCTGGCGTCGCATGAAAACCCTGGCACTGGTGAGAACACTGAGCGTTCGGGTAAAGTGATTGTTGTTGTTGTTGTTGTTGTTGTTGTTGAACATTATTTATTCTAAAGAATAATTTTTGTTGGGCCCCCTGGTGCGCGCCCCCCCTGCGCCGCCTAGGCCGCAGCTACATTTTTATCATTTTCGTGAGGAAGCCTCAGAAAAGAGGGTGTGTACAGGATCCGGTTGTTTTGTTGTAATCCGCTTTCCCTTGCAAAAAACAATAGAAAATGACATTTCTTGTTCTAATATAATCAAATTTCAAGAATCCCTTGCAAAAAATCAGGTAAAGTGGACATTCGCGCGCGCAAGACGAAATCCTTCCCAAAGCTTAGTGTTCGGAGCGATTTCAACATAAAAACATCAAAAAACCAATGGTTTTTCAACAAAAAAAATGTCAAAATCTCATCCCGCGCGCTCTTGCGGATTCGTAGGAAACCCAACACTTTTTAAACATTTCTGTCAAACGGGCTTTTGCGAGCAACTTTTCGAACTTCTGCGACAACGGTTGCGCACCTGCCAGGGCCATCATCCCTGTCAAATAATACCATGCGGGACACATTCGTTTTTTCTTCGCGCGCGCACGCCGAAATCTCCAAAAACCATTGGGTTTTTAAGAATTTTAGCACCGCATGTGTACCATGTACCCTACGGGTCATATGCAACTGATGCCTTTGCGTATTCCCACTTCGGCACAGGAATTTGATTTAAAAATGTGACGAACTCCTCTCTCTCTGTCTCTCTCTCTTTGTCTCTCTCTCTCTCTCCCGCTCTCTTCCTCTGTCTCGCCTTCTCTCTCTCAGTGTCTGTACCATGTCTAGCACTGGTAACAAAGGTATTTGTGTATCCCACATCCGCCCAGGAATTCCACAAATGTGACCAACTATCTTGCGAGTACGTATCATCTCATGTGTGTCGTGCACACTATCAAATGTAACAGAGTTGTGTATTCCCATCATCCCAGGAACTTGACCAAAAAATGTGACCAACTCCGATCTCTCTGTCTCTCTCTCTGTCTGCTCTCTGTCTCTCTCTCTGTCTCTCTGTATTATGTATTGTATGGCACAATTGCACCATGCTGGGCACATGCGCGCCCCGAATAAGTGACCAAGTTCTGTGGGTGCGTACCCCACGCCAGTGTAGTAGCCACGGTCGTCCGCACGCCACGAAGTGAAGTGTCCCAACGTCATAGGGCGGGAAGCTGGGTTTGGGTGGTCGCGAAGAGTCGTTTGGATATTTGGTAGAGCTTGTAATGCCCCCCCACGAAGTGGGGGTATTGCCTGGTGTCGTATGAAAACCCTGGCACTGGGGAAAACACCACGCGTTCGGGTAAAATGATTGTTGTTGTTGTTGTTGTTGTTGTTGTTGTTGTTGTTGTTGTTGTTGTTGTTGTTGTTGTTGTTGTTGTTGTTGTGTTGTTGTGGTTGTTGTTGTTGTTGTTGTTGTTGTTGTTGTTGAATACTTCCCTGGGCGCCGTGGAGCTCTCGCCTCGGCGCCGGTCAGATTCTATTGAAAGTGAGGCTCGCGCTCGAGCGGTTTGGGGGGCGCCACAACGGGCTCCCCAACAACAACAACAATGCTCCCGCTCGAGACTTCCTCGTTTTTTGCCCAGAGCCGGTGCTCTTGCTCGCCGCCGGAAACCGCCGCCCCAACAAAACCAGCGTTCCCGCCCGAGATTTCCATTCGTTTTACGCTGGACTGGCGCTTAACTCTCTTTTGACATGGCGCCGCCCCCAGCGAGAACAACGCTCCCGCTCGAGGCTTCCTCCCTTTTTCCTGAAGACGGTGTTGTTCCTCACCGCCGACAGACCGCGGCTCCCGCTTGAGATGTCTTCCCTTTTTTGTCAAGGCGGTGTTCCTCCTCGCCGCCGACAATTGCCATCCCAACAGAACCAGCGCTCCCGCTCGAGACTTCGTCTCGTGTCACGCTGGACTATCGCCCTGCTCTCTTCTGCATTGGCGCCGCTCCCAGCAACAACAGCACCCCTGCTCGAGACTTCCTCCCTTTCTATTCAGGGCGACGTCCTTGCCTCGCCGCCGACAGCCCCCATCCCCACCAAGCCAATGCTGTCGCTCGATACTTCCTTGTGCTTTTCCCTTCACTGGGGCTCCACTGGCGGCCTCGCGTCGGCGCAGCAGGGCGCGGGCATGTGTTTTCGAGGAAGGTTGCATTGAAGTTCCTCTGGGGAGGCGTTTGCAAGACCTCATTGTGCGGGAGATCTGGGGATGGGAATAACGGACCCCCGCGATAGAATAATCATCCCGCATGATGGGGATGGTTATCATGATGGTCGCACCCCTGTATGGAAGCATCGCTCATGAGGGTAAGATGATTGTTGTTGTTGTTGTTGTTGTTGTTGTCGTTGTGGTTGTGGTTGTGGTTGTGGTTGTTGTTGTTGTTGTTGTTGTTGTTGTTGTTGTTGTTGTTGTTGTTGTTGTTGTTGTTGTTGAGTTCTCATCCTTGGAGTATTAATATTGTTGATCCCCCCTTCAGTGACTATTGTGGTTTTTCAATTGAACTGCCCCGATCGGGGCTCGCACCTTCCTGTTTTACAGGCAGAGCGAGGGGTCACCAAACTGGGTTGTTGGGCCCCGTTCTACAACAACAGCAACTGCTCCCGCTGGGTACTTCTTCACAATTTATTGCAACATCGCGATCTTGCACGGGACTTCTTCACAACTCATGAAGGACTTGCGTTCTCGCATGTGAATTCCTCGCAATTTATTCAGACGGCGCGCCCTCGACACTCAGGAATCACTCTCTCGCTTTCGTAGGATTTATTCGGGACTCGCGCATCGCTCGAGCTCTCCTCGCGAGTCATCAGTATTCACGCTTCAGCAACACGCCTGCTCGACCTGGCCGCTTGGGCCCGCCTTCCCGACCCGCCCATTTGGGTCTACCCACCCGATCTACCCGTGAAGTTCTGCCACTTGTTTTCTGCTCCTAGCCCCCCTCTTGCTAGTCTCTCTCGTGGTCCATCCACTCGCGTTGCAGGGCGTTGCTGGGATATTCGACGGCTGTGCGCGGGATGCCCTCCTCCGAGTGTGCATGTATTTCGTGACGCTGGCCCCTGGGGATCCCGACCCCTTCCCCGGGGCCCCCTCCTCATCCTGAGCTGTTCTGTTGCCGGTCTCGTGTCCGCGGCACGGCCTCCAGAGGCCAGGTTCGCAGAAAAACAGGCGGCACGATCTCTTGCGACGCCCAGATCTGAGGGTGCATCGCCGACTGCCGGAGCAGGCAGCGAGAGGCAGCATCTGGGATGGACAGAAGTGGCGGCCGTGACGCGTCTAGCTACTTCGTAGAGAGCGCGCGAGGGGAAGGTGCGCCGCTCGACCGCACGCGCTGCTGCCCAGCACCGCCCGGCCCGCATGGCGGCAGGCAGCGAATGGGGAACTGGGGGAGGGGGGGGGCAACGAGGAGGGGCATCCAGGTTCGAGGGTAAAGTTTTTTAGCGTTTATGAGTTTTCTCGCCGCCATGGCTGGAGCCGCCACGTAATTTTGGCCCAAACGCACCCGTCGAGAGGTCCAGGATATATTTTCGACCCCTGGACCCAGAACCCCTTCGCGTCGTGAAACAACAGCGACGGACATTTTTTGGTCGTGTTCGGCCGCCCGGGGCCCACATCGGCCCCCACGACAGTGAAAAATTGTACAGGGTCGAGACCTTTTTGGGGTCCGTGCTGCGAACACACATGACGTCTGGATATTGGGGATGTGGAGGGCAGGGCAGGATGGGAGGGGGGGCTGTTTGATCGGGGAGGCGGAGGGGGAAGTGTAATGGGGCAGGTTGGAGATTGCTCTCGCTAATCCCGATGTCGTTGAAGGGGTAGTTGGGGGACAGGACAGGAGGGGAGGAGAAGGAAGAGGTGGTGGAGGAGGAGGAAGAGGAACAGGAACGGAAAGAGGACAAGGACGGGGAGCCAGGGAGGCGGCGAACGAGGAGAAACAAAACCTTCTCCATCTTGCCGCCGGCGTTGGAGGGCGCGCTCGCGCTGCCGGCTGGGGGCTGGGTGCAACGCCAGGGCCGGGGCTTGCAAGCCTTGATTCACGTGTCCCGGCTCCGCCTCTGCAGCCGCGGTCTCGCGCAGCCGCAGCGTCGCCTCGGATAGGATCTGCCCAGGCGCCACCAGCCTCCATCCAGTGCTGCGGCAGTGTGCCGTAGTGTTGCCAGTACGCCTGGTGCAGGTCGTGCTGTGGCACGTAGGCATGGTGCCGGACTGCGTGACTCTCCTGATTGACGCCTCCATTCCTTCAG